CCCCCCCCCCCCCGCACTGTTCCATCTTCTGGGTGTGTCCTTTGCTATAGGAGTTGACACAAATCCGTCATAGGTGATTGTTTTTAATCTTTATTTTTTTTGTGTTCTTTGTATTTTTCTAAGTATCTACAATGAATGGGCACTCCTTAACAGAAGGGCATGGTAAGTGGAGTTTTATCATTTATAATGTATTTATAATCTGGACATTTTGGGGAGAAGACACCATAGAAATATGTCGTGTGTGTGTGTGTGTGTGTAGTGGTCTAGGCCTTTAGAACTTAGAAAATGGTTCCAGCCCCACTTCCAGAGGACAACCCGGTATTGCCACCGATTCCTTCTGTCTGTGCCCTGCCCTCCTCTTCCTCCTCTTCCTTCTCTTCCTCCTTCCCCTCCTCCCCATGGCAAAGTTGACTCTCTAAGGTAGCTGGGCAGGGCAAAGGAAGCTGTGCAAGTATGTGCCCAGTTCCCTGGGTGGAAGGTAGCCACCTGCTCCTGACTGTATGTAGCGAAGATTGTCAGTGTAAAATGGCAAATGCAACAGGCGCCGGTACTTCACACCTGTTATCCCAGCGACTCAGAAGGCTGAGATCTGAGGAGTGTGGTTCAAAGCCAGTCCAGGCAGGAAAGCCTGTAAGATTCCAAAAAAGCTGGAAGTGGAGCTGTGGTTCAAGTAGTAGAGCACCAGCCCTGGGCAAAAGAATGCTCAGGGACAGTGCCTAGGCCCTCAGTTTAAGCCTACCACCCACACCAAAATATTTTCTGAGTAGCAGGCTTGGATGAATGAGCCTGCGCCTTTTTTCATGAGAGAGGGGATTTGGATGATGTAGAAGAGGGAGATGTTGAACTGAACTTCAGATTGGGGGTCCTGATATTTGTCCTAGGCTGGGTGTGGAGAAATCAGGAGTCTAGAGAGGGACGGAAGAGAAAGTGTTGGGTGGGATGTCTGGACTCTAGGCTCTAGACAGCTAGGTAGAAGTTTTGGAACCCTTGACTTTTTTGTTGTTGTTCACGGCCTCCGCTTTGGCCTGCACACTGTCCCTAAGCTTTTGTACTCAAGGCTAGAGCCCTGCCACTTGAGCCACGGCTCCACTACTGGGTCTTTGGGTGGGTCTTTGGAGGTGACAGTCTCATGGACTTTTTTTTTTGGTCCGGTCATGGGGCCTGAACTCTGGGCCTGGGCACTGTCCCTCAGCTCTTCAGCTCAAGGCTAGCGCTCTACCACTTGAGCCACAGCGCCACTTCCGGCTTTTTTCTTATGTGGTGCTGAGGAATCGAACCCAGGGCCTCATGCATGCAAGGCAAGCACTCTACCACTGAGCCATCTTCCCAGCCCGGTCTCATGGACTCTTTCTGACCCAAGCGAGCTTCGAACCAAGAACTTAAGCTCTCAGCTTCCCGACTAGCTGGGAGCGGGCTGAGCTGTCTTTGTTGGAGGAATCCTGGCTGGATTTCCAAGAAATACCCTACAGATGCCCACTGAGATCCATAGAGATGAGCACATGGGACGGGGATTCCCTTGATCCGGGGTGGTGGGGAGGGAGGGCCGCTTTGCCTGGCGCCCCCAGGTCATTGGGACCCAGCTGCAGGGAGGCTGGGGCCTGACCCAGGCCGATGGGGTCCCAGGGCGGCTTGGAATAGGGGAGACAGGATGGTGGCAACGGTCGGCTGGAGTCCACGCCCTCCCCCAGGACACATGCACCCACCCGATACTGAGCCCGGAGCCCGCGGATCGGCTTTGGCGCCCATCCGCACGCTCCACGCACCCCAGGTCCCTAGTGGACTCGCCCTTTGGCCAGCGCGGTCCCATTTAGGCCCCATCCACCCACAGGCCCCGCCCTCGCGGATGCCACACCCATCGGCAGGCCCTGCCCTATCGGATGCCACGCCCTGTAGAGGCCCCGCCCCCTCGAGGACGCCACGTCCTCCAGATCCACATGCCCCCTCGTGCACCCGACGCCTCCCGTAGGCTCCGCCCCTCGCGGATACCACGCCCACCAAACGCCCCCTCGTGTACGCCACGCCCCTCCCTCGGGGGGGCGGGGTCTCTGTCTGGAGATCCCGCCGCGCACTCAGCGGCCTGGGCCGGGCGGCTCCGCTGGGTCCAGCCGGGCCTCGGGGGAGGAGCTCCGGG